TTAAAAGCTACCCAGTCTCGGCAATCCTGATGATCAAGTCGAGTGTGTCGACTGAGCAGTCTTGTTTGTTGATTTTTTTTTTAAATTCCCTTTTCCCCTTTCTTTCTATTTTTTATTTTTATTTTCTATTTTTGCAGTGCGTGAAAATATAACAAACGAGCATGTGGTGCCCTGACGGCATTCCTCATGCTTTCCAAGTAACAGTTGAAACAGTAGGGCATGTGTTAGTTCTTGCACTTTTTTTTTTTTTTTATAAGTCATGCTAAGGTGAGACATACTGATTAAGCATTTTAGCAAGGTCTGGGTAGGCTCTGACAATTCAAGATCATTATAAAAAACAGTTAAACCAGCTTAAACATGTAACAGGTTATTAATTATATGTTGAGTAAAACGCTAGACAATACCTATTACCCAATCTGCTCTAGTTATAGCATAAATAGTGTGAGTATAGTGTGCTAGATAATTAAGCAGGCTAGTGCAGGTAAGTTAGTTAAGCTAGTCACAGGCTAAACATGCTGCGTAAAACTAGTAACATACATGTCTAAGTAATGCCAGATGAGATTTGTCATTTACAGTTCAATAGGTACACATATTGCAAGGTTGGTGTCCAGGCTGTGGGTTGCTGCCAGCTGTGACAATGTGCCATTAAGTTAGCCCTTTCAGCCTATGCCCACCTGGCGTACCAACCTGTCCAGCATGAGGGTGACTCGCCTGAGGGTGGCACACTCACTTGGTGAGGTGATGCCCGGCCCTAGTTCGTCTGAGAGGCGGTTCATAGGTGATTGTGGTAGTCCCTTCGTGTAGCTTAGGGCAGGCGTAGGTATAGTGGGGCTCTGCACTCCACAGCAGCGGCGGGCAGGACGTCGGTCTGCGGCCCGAATCCCCAACCTGGGGTGCAGCCTCCGCGGCTTACTTCGCTTCGGTGTAGTCAGTTAAGGAGCCTTCTTGCGGGCGTCGCCATCCCAGGGTATGGGTGCACTTTGCTGTGTTGTTTGAGGTGATGTCGGACCGTTGCCCCCTTCTCCCCTTGCCTGAGAGGGAGTCTGCTTCTGGGGTCTGTGGATATTGGCTTCTTGGGGAGGTAAAACTTTACTTGTTGGGAGTTTGCTGGGGTTCCGGATGATCCGCAGTCACTTGTGGGCGCATGGCCTCTGCTTTCGCGGTCGCTGCTTTGCGGTTGTGGTCAGGGGGGCCCGTAGCCCTCATGGGTCTGAGTTAGGCTGTTCCGAAGCTTGTTGGGTCGCCTTGCCCCTAGGTGGCCTTTGACCTCTGCGGTTTTCGCCATTGCCTGCATTTCTCCTTTGTGGGGTCTGCTGGGTGGCCATCCGAGCTTCCAGCTTGTCCCAAAGTCTCTGGAACGCTTTGTGTCGAGCTCCCCACCTCCATCGTGGGTAAGTCGGCTGAGTGTGCTCTGTGGACTGTATCAAACTGCAAGTTGCTGTGCGGGTGTACAGGGCTAGCTTGTGGGGACCGGGATAACCCCTGCCGGTCCAAAGGGGCGGGGGGGACAACTCAGGTTGGATATCCTACCGCTGATTAAAGCTGTAGGAGAGCGGCCGCCTCTTCTCAGCTCGGTCACTAGTAGGCCGCAAAGCCTCGTGTCCAGTTTCTCAGCGGCGGGTCGTCCCACGAGAGGTATCTTCGAAACCGTCAGTGTGTCAGGAACAATGAGCTTATTGTGCTGCGTCCGGATTTCTTTTTGGTTCAGTAATTTTGCCACTTTTAAGATGCCAAACGCAGGAGCTCATGTAGCATGCTTCTGTTCTGTTCAGTAGCCAGGCTCCGCCCCCCTTTCTTTCTATATTTCGACTACAAGTCTCTTTGTGGAGTGTGGCTGGCAAATTAGCAGAGACAGTCAGACTCTTCTTTGTCTTTCATTTAGGACTATAACAGGGAACAGCCATTACGGCACTTTGTTTGATACAATATGATTTTCACTAATAGAGACTTTATTACTTTAGGAACATTTTAGGAAAGTCCCCATTGTTCCCCTATCTTCGTCTCTCTTTACTTGTTCCTTTAGTTTCCATTAAATGTAAAAAAATGTTAATGTATCACAAAGGAATACCTTTTGAACTGAGACCCCTAGTGACCATTTAAAGGCAATACAGTGACATTGAGTTATCTCAGTTCCCAGGTTATAGTGCCCCCCTTCTTTTTTTTTTTACTATTTCAGGGCACTACAAGAAAGGATTTAGGTTAATATGTATATTTGGCAACTCTAACAAATTTAGCTGACATTGTGTAATAAAATTAGAGATATTTTTAATTTGTTGCAACACAATTTTTACCTATTAAATTTTCTTTATCAATTAAACTTTAACAAAAAGATGGAATAAAAGTTATATTTTATTTACAAACAGTTTTATCTTTTTGTTTGACCAATTATTCTATACAGATAAAGAGCAGCATTACGACAGCTTGAGCAGGTAATAATAAGGCAAGAAATTTATGGGTAATTTTTAGGGTAAATGTTAAAAACATTAAAGCATGGAACAGAGAAATGGTGAACCCAAAACATAACAAAAATCAACTTAACATAATGATACAGAGTATTATATAACCTTTTGAAACTATAATTAACTTCAGTAAAATTTGGATATAAAGTTACACCAAAATTTGCTTGACCTAATATAAATATTTCATCTCTTTCCTATATATTTACATTATAATACAGTATTCGTATTACAAATCTTGACAATGGTAATCTTTGTCTCTGTAGCTGTATCAAACCATATTTCAGGAACAATAGCATTGCATTTTCCATGTTCCTGTTGATCTCTTCTAAACATTTATTGCAGTAGGCAACTACTGTACATCCCAATTGGGCATATCTTATAATTAAACTGGGAGTGAAACATGTGTTTCAGTTTTCTACCCTGCTGGCTTGCAAGGTGAAAGGGCATACTCTAAATCTCTTCTCAGATAAAACACATTAAATATGATATTTCAGGTTTGCAGCTGAAGTCTTCTCAGGAGATTCCTCTTCTTAACAACCTTCAATTTGACAGATAAAGCGCAGGGTAGTAATCATTACTGAAATGGATTTTCTGGCACAACTGGACATCACTTTTTGGAAATCAATAATCATTTGAAAGTTACAGGGTGATTAAATGATGATTCTATTATGCTTCGTGTTGAACTGAGTTTATTTTATTTATTTATTTTGATTTATAAGCTCATATCATGACACAAACATTAATCTTATGAGATTTAAATTGACAAAATTTGCCAAAATACTCTTAAATAACTATTACCCTAAACCAAAATATAGCAACATGTTTTACATAGTAGAAAAGTTATTTTCAAAATATATATATTTTTTAAATAAATAATATGCTGCAAAAAAATCAATAATTGTTTACAAGCCAGATTATGGAAGAATAAAATGTGCTAATGTCTGCCGCCCTGTGAATATTTAAGTCTAAATTAAGTGAGAGAGTATTTCATCATGGATTGACAGTAATTTGATCAACAATTAACCACTTTTTATAGCCAGAGGAAAAGTTTTTCAGGTAAAAAAAAATCACCACTATGCAAATTCAATGAATAATAGAAATTCAAAAATGTTATCCAGCACAATATTTTGTGCAGTTAATCTTCATTCAGTGGTAGTTTTAAAAATATTATATCTTCATTCATTGGTAGTTTTAAAATTATTTTGTAAGCTTTTCAGAAATACAATCAGGACAAAAATATAAATATGAAATCAACAGTACATTAACACAATGTATGAGGTTGGAAAAAGTAACATTTAAAACCAATGGCCACATTTACAAACCGTGCAAAAGTAGACAAAACAGGAGAAATTTTTTTAATATTTGTACTCAGCAAAAAAAGATCTGCAGCCAAGAGAAAAAAAAATGTCATTTACCCAGTCATAGGCATAAACCACATAACTGATAATTACTTGAGCATTCACTTTTGTCTGAACTGAGACATTGGACCAAGTTTGGACTTATTGTCTGTTTGGCAGAATTCTGTATCTCCAAAGCTCCATGGTGACATAAAACTGACTAACCACTTTTGTCTGAATTAAGACTTGCCCAAATTTGGACCGATCGGCTGTTTGGCAGAATTCTGTACCTCAGAAGCTCCTTGCTGACATAAAATGGAGCAATAAACAAAAGTCAATGCCCAAATATGTTCAGATGCTTCAGGATTCTAAGTTTTGTACTTAGCACCAAAAAAAAACAAGGATGGAATGCAGAGGAGGCTATTTTTAAGGGGTGCCAAAGAGCATTTTTGTGTGCCATGATGGTCAAGAGGTCTGACCAATGAGATGGACTTTATCTCCTGGCCAAGGAAGAAGTGGAAATAAAGATGAATTATGGTTATGAAACAGCAGTTAAATGTTGATCTCATTCACAGATCAAGTGAATAGTGACCAATAGATGAAAAAAAGGAGGAGCAGTAAAACACCTATATATTTCCAAGCTAAATTGTTTTAGACACAAGCTATGAAGGGAGACATATCAGCCATGATATTGCGTTGGAGAGTCTGTGCTACTGATCCTAGTGTGAGACTGCCTTGACTTAGGTTACTACTGTACCTGCCAACTGTCACATAAACACTTCTTATAGGGAGTTTGATTCCCAGTGTTATTGATCATCCTAGTGTAAGACTGCTTAGGTTTCGGTTAAGTGTGATGGGAAAAAGGAATTAGAAGAGGATAGTGTATAGACATTAGCCAGCAGCCAACTATTTTCTTTGGCAGGTAGTGTGCACTTACCCCCTGTATCTGCTTCACCATCTCTCAAAGTCCATCTCTATCTGTTCTTGAATCACATGATTAAACAAAGACAGTTGTGACAGGAGCTGCGCCTGCTTCCATTGTCTCAAGTAGCTCACCCACTGTCATTGTTACCATCATCAGCACAACCAATACCACCGCAATCAACCGTACCAGAAAAATCAACATCTCATTAGCAGTAGTGATGTCCCGAACGGTTCGCCACGGACTCATCATTGAGTAAACTTTGACCCTGTACCTCACAGTCAGCAGACACATTCCAGCCAATCAGCAGCAGACCCTCCCTCCCAGACCCTCCCACCTCCTGGACAGCTCAGTAAGAATGCAGCTTCAAAATGGATCCTGTCCAGGAGGTGAGAGGGTCTGGGAGGGAGGGTCTGCTGCTGATTGGCTGGAATGTGTCTGCTGATTGTGAGGTACAGGGTCAAAGCTTACTCAATGATGAGTCCGTGGCGAACCGTTCGCGAACCATTCGGCGAACCATTCGGGACATCACTAATTAGCAGTAATAATTTTTGGTCATTTATGGTGCTGTGAATGGCAAAAAAATCAGTGATATAAATGAGCCAAAACCGAAGCCTTCAGCACGTGATCTTTTACAGGTTAAAGAAGACTATATATTTCAAAAGTATTCAGTTCCTTGTCATGTTCCTGCTGTGTGCAAAAGAATTTTCAGGAAAATTATATTACATTTGAATGACCATGTAATAGCCCTGACCTGAATCCAGTATAAAATCTGTGGAGTCGATTAAAGAAGTTTGTTAGTCATAAGCAACTAAGGAACAAAAGTAAATTGATAAAAACAAGCATACAATCTTGGTTTTACATTATAACACCTGATCAACTAAAACAATTGGTTCACTCCATGGGACACAGTTGTAAGGCTGTGATTGCAGCAAAAGGTTTCCCAACTCAGCAGTAACAGATATAGTGAGAAGCTATGAAATACAATTTACCATGGTTTTCTTTGCATTACCATGGTTTTCTGTGTATAACCTAATTAAAATTATTTTTTTTGATAAAGTGTGTTGCATTACATTTGACAACACTAAATTATCTTTCTCATGATACATAATTTAATTTCTATGTGATTCTTCTAAAAAAACTGATGTTATGTGTCATCAAACCTCAGAAATAATTTTTTTTCAAAAGGTCTGGCAAATTATGGCAACCAGTATATAGTAATAATCTAATTTTTACAAGTCGGAATAGACATAGCAAAAATTTACGATATTTCCTAGAACAAAACAAAAAAATTGTTTATAGGCGCTCACTACAATATCCAAAGGAATAGGCTTCAGCAAATCTATCAAGGATTCCCAAACCCTGTGTAACAAACAACCCAAATAGAAAATTAGATAAACCATGCCAAAAGAGTGATCTTTAAGGGCAATAAGTGCAAATATACATAGATGAACCACTGAAAATACTTACAAATGATTGACCCCAAAAAACAGGGACAATAGTGCAAGAAGTATTAACAATGTGCAAATCCAATAAAATTCTTATAGAGAGCCCAATCACACTTTAAAAGCTAACTTAGAGCTTTGTTGTAATATGCATGGGTGTTACAATTCAGATGGATCCAAGGTGGTGAACACACTCCAGACCAAGCAATGCTAACACAATATGTGGAGACAAAAACAAGGAATGTTGTACTAAGTGCAAATGGAACGCAAAGAAAAATATCTTCCTTACAATTTCGATAGCAGAAACGAGTTCTAGTGATGACAGGCCTTGGTGGTATAATCCCAACCTTGGATATGCAGAAACCAGGAAGCCAACAAGTGTGATGAATACTGTATCAAATAAAACTTAAAATTAACTTTATATATAATACATTATAATTAAAAACACTGACATGCTATAAATAAAAACAACAAAAGTCCAATTAGGCAACAGGAACCTAATGCATTTCTCCCAAAGGGTTTCTTCAGAAGTGTGATGATAAGCTACAGTAGCACAGTTTAGATAGGTAAGTAATAGTCCAATTATTGAATCCTGGTTTGTCCAGTTTACTGATTCCTGTATTCCATGATTGTATCTACTAATTGTATTTTTTTATTTCCAGAGGGAATGAATGCTCCTGTGTGTCCTCAAACCACGGAACAAGCAAAATACAACTAAAACTTTGAGTGGAGGTCAAGGTACCTAAGATTTCTGTACCTACAGGTATCTGAGATGTACATCCAACCCTGAATACATATTAGAAAAAGGGGAATCAGCATCAAGAGGTGTATAATTTGCACAAATAGTCAATAGTAATTTTAGTATAGATGGAAAGAGTACATATACTCATATCATTACGTAACATACAGGTTACCGTCATGAAGATATGAAAATAAAAACTATAGCAAGTGTCTTTAACATTGTATAGTAATGTCTCCTTAAAGGACTAGCAAAAACAGCTGTAGCCACAATTAGCATCAACATAGTCACTCCTAATGACTTTCATCCATTTCATGCTCTATCACCCCTACTAACTACTCAAGGATGGCTGCAAAATGCATTATTAAAATCAATCAATGTATTTTTAATAAAATATTAGGATGTTTAGGCTTTGTATAATATGTTTAGGCTTTGTATAAGCACTTGACTAACCCAGAAAACTGAGGGTTCATGAAACATACTAGAAACAAAATGGGTTACATTACAATACTTTACCTTGCTTTATAAGCATGAACTAGGCTGTCACAAGCTCCAAATTAAGATATTCATAGCTGCATCTCTGTCAGCAAGATTCTTTCAGCCCTTCTACTTGGCAGGTAATGTCAATGCCTCATGCATTTTGTGAAAAGCAGATAGCAGGTACAACTCTGAGTTACAAATATGATAAGCATTTTCTTAAACATAAAGGCAGATCTATTTTCTGTCACGTCAATAACTAATATTAAAACGATTAAATGCAAAAATGACCAACCGCTATCATTTATTGTGTGAATTAAAAAAAAACAAATTAGATTAATTTCCTACTTGAAACTACAATATTATATTTTTACATGTCATTTTTGTTAATGCTTATACACATTATGCAGGAACCAAGAAACTCTGGTCTTCTGAGTTCCACACTTACCAAAAGCAATCTGAAAATAATGTATCCACTTCATGGCAGATTTTTATATTTGCTTTAATTGAGCCACAGTTTTTTTTGCTTTGCCGCTGAAGTTTCTTAGAAATTGAAAGATGTGTCATAACATTTCAGCTTTCTGCAGCCTACATAATGTCTTCAAAAGCAAAATGTACAGGCTGGCAAATGGAAATGTATATCACAGAATATATTAGTGCTGGCCTACATTCAAGTTCAGAAGCACATTGATATAATAATTTCATTAATGTGAATTTTGTTTGTAGCTAGCATAGCAGTAATAGAGCCATAGATTTCTCAAATTCTTAATGAAACTTTGCTTTTCTAAAGAGTATAATTTAATAAGTTTAAATGTGTATGGAAAGTGCCAATTAAGCCTCATACAGTGTGTGCAAATTTTAGGGATTGCAAATCAGTCATCGGAAATGCTTTTCTCTCGGTCTCTAATTAGCAATAAGCAAACAAAAATACTGACTCTTTTTGTGGGTGACAGCATTATTTTCCTTCTACTGAGTGTATAGTTAAATAGAATCATTAAATATTGATTTATCCTGTTATTGTTTGTAAAAATAAAATTATATTTAAAATCTCTACAAATAATACTTTTATAGGCACATAAAAAATTGTCAGACCTATCTCGTGTTGTGATATCATCTAATCTATACAACATAGATGTAAACAATAAATTATAGTAGATTCTTGATATAATTTAATTTTTTTTTTGCACTAATATAGTTATTCCAAACTATTGTAATGTAGAAAAAAATGGAGACTGCACAGTTTGTTCATTTTCAAAGGCAGGCACTAGCATTGCCAGCACTGCAAAAATGAAGAGGAGTTAAAGGACTGCACATAAAAGACTATCAAATACTGTTAATGTTCGCACTCCATTTATATCCCAGTAGTACTGTAATTGAGCACCAACACAATTACTGATTAACTCAACAGAATCAGTGTATAAAACCCCCCAGATAATAATGTCAATTCAGAGACTTGCTAAGAGGGAGGGCAGTGACCTAGAGCAGTGGGTGCACATAGAATCCTTCTCCAACCAGGGTAGGACAACTCTGTCACTGTGGCTGCAAATCAGTTACTGAGGGGACTGCTGGGATGTTTCTGTACTGATTACCCAATTTCCTTTCATGTCCTGTGCTGATGCTGGATCCAGGACATTACATTACCCTAGCTCTGGTAACAGAGCTGCATGGAGCTGTGCAATCAATACAGAGACTGATCCCTGCAGCTCCCCACTGTACCTTACTGTTAATATTTATAATAAAATAAAAATTTGGTGTGCATGTATGGATGTAAGCATGTAGGTGTGTGTGCGAGTCAGAATGTGCATATGAATGCGTTGTGTATATGAGTCTGTGTGTGCATATAAATGTGTGTATGTATAAATCTCTGTGTATACGATCGTGTGTATTAGTGTGCGTGTATGTATGTGTCTGTCTTTGTGTAAAGATTTGTGTCTGTTTATATGTGTCCATATATGAATGTATGTGGCGCATATTAATGTGTAAATATTTATATATATATATATATATATATATATATATATATATATATATATATATATAGGCAAGTAGGATGGCTGCATCCTACTTGCCTATATTGATATTGAAGCCCAGGCTATGCACCCGGTCTTGGAAGTCTTAGGAGCCTGTGTGCAAGGTACAGTTCGATTTTTTTTTTATATATATATATATATATATATATATATATATATATATACATACATGTATGTGTATATAAATGTCAGTATAGATGCCTATGTAATTTGCCTAACAAAAGTAGGTTGTAAGTTCTGCAGAGGGATACTTTTAATTAAAACAATTTCATACAGTTTGAAGTAAGGAGGGGTGCCAAAATAAATTCATACCCCGGGTGCCATGTAACCTAGGTACACCTTTGAGTTGACTTATGAAAGTTTTTGTAGAATCTCAAACAACACTACTGTATGTATATATGATATGTAGTTTGATATATAGGTAGTTAGAAAGGTAGATAGAGATGGAGAGAGATGGATAGTTTTGAAGATACATTGATAGATGGCTCCATAGATCGATTGATAGATAGATATCTGAATGCAAAGGGTTATTTCAGATGCATGCTTACTAGTTAGATTATACATATATTTACTGAAAGGGCAACAAAGGAAAAAGAAGGTATGTTGTTTTCGTGCTGTAAATAATAACATGAAGATACGTTTAGCAAAGTTTACCCAATTAATGCCACACACAATATAGGTAACTGAAGGTCAGCAAAAAATGGCAATTAAAACATTGTTGCACAAAAAGTTGTCCATCTACAAGTATTCTAA